GTAAAAATCACTTAAACTTGGAGTGGTTGTTCATGCTTGTAATCACAGTACCGGCAGTATTGAGAGACGTGAGGCAGGCAAGCAGGTCAAGAGTGTAAGGCTAGCCAGGTCTATTTAGCAAGACACCATCTTTTTTTAAAATTATCATTATTTTTTTCCATTTATTTTACATACTGAGCAGTCCCCCCACCCCACCTCCCAATCCTTCTCCCTGCCTCCAGCCTCCCATCCCATCTACCCCCTCCACCCAATCCACTTCTCCATCTCCGTTCAGAAAGGGGCAGGCCTCCCATGAGCGTCAACAAAGTATGGCACACCAAGTTGAGGCAGGACCAAGCTCCTCTCCCCCACCAAGGCTGGGCAAGGCAACCAGCATGGGGAACAGGTTCCCAAAAGCCAGCTACGTGCCACGGACAGGTCCTGATTCCACTGCTGGGAGACTGACAAATAGACCATGCTACACAACTGTCACACACCTGCAGGGGGCCTAGGTCGGTCCCATGCAGGCTCCCTAGCTGGCAAGACACCATCTTAAAGAAAAAAACTTTAAAAATAGTTGCAACAAAGTAGTTAAAGTAAAAAAAAAGAAAAAGAAAAAGAAAAATCAAGTAACTGGAGATAAACTATGTTAGACAGACAGATAGACAGGGATATTTCCTCTCCTGAATAAGCTACCATCTCAAGAACACATCCAGAACCCCTTGCCACCCATTTCCAAAGATGGAAGAAACAGCAGCCAGGAAATCCTCCTGAGGATAAAGAGGTTTCTAGACCTGTCCGGTGCACAGCACACTTGTTTATATGATCAAGACTTCCAAGGGGAGACCGCTTTTTTTTTTTTTGAAACAGGATTTCTCTGTGTAGCTTTGCGGGAGACTGCTTTTAACAAACACCCAGAAAATACTTCAGATAGAACAAGCTATTTATTTATTTTTGTATGTTTTGATATATTTGGACAAGCCAAATGAGAGATTTTTCTTATGGAATGTTCTTGCAAAATACGCAAATTTGTAAAATTGGAGTTTTGTCCGAACACGTCGAAACACTTAAGTGACCCTCCCATACATTCATTCAGTTCTCTTCAGAGTTGAAGTGTAAAGTATCAGTGTTACATTCTGAAAGGGCTGGAACATCCATGGTGCATCAACAGTTCTGGGATGTGTCCTGTAACTCTCGCTCAGTCACGCTAACCAGAGGGGAGGTCTGACACACGGCCCATCATCCACCAGTGGGGGTGGAGTGAGCCATCCCCTGCTTATGGACTGTGCGCGCTCCCTGTGTGCAGTGCCCACAGCTCAGGAGGGTACACAGACTGACTCCCAAGGTCATGAGCTCATGTAACCTTCCCACAGTGTATTTGTCATCTGGCTTACTACTGTTCTTAAATATTTTCACATTTATCTCAAATCAGATTCCAAAGTTAGTGAAAATCTGACATCTTTGTGTTAGTTTTATCTTTATTTTGTAGGCTATAGAAAAACCACACACTATTAAAAAGCATAAAATACTGAAACTTTTATTTATGTGGTATATAAATTTCAGTAACAAAAATTTATCATGAACATACAGCTGAAACACTGTCATGATTGACAACTCCACATGATACTGTAAAATTTGCTACATTTCATGATTTTCACAAGAAGAACTCAGTTTGGTTTGTTCAAACTCATGATCTCTCACATTACACTCACTTTCTATGGGACATACTTTTTATTCTTGTTTTTCTGAACAGATTCTGAAAGAGTTGTAAGATCACAGTGGCAATGAATCCCTTTATTCCCTGCGGGAAGCAGCAGGCTGGCTTGATTCTCTTAACTCTCTTGGGAACGATTATCTTCAACAACAATAGATCTAGTCGGAGCCACTTCCACAAATACGTATCGAAATTCAAACCGGCCACTCTGTGGGTTCTGAAAAACATGAAGAAGTTGTTACCCTCTCCTGCCGAGGGCCGTGGCATACAGCAGGTGACAACTAGTGTTCAAGAGGTCGACCTGCCAGATGATGAACTGTTGAGGACCCCACTAGGCAAGTCCGTGGGGTCACTGGCCGTGGAAACCGGTTGTTTTCTGCCTGTAACGTTCTCATGTGCCACCACTTACCTCCCTAAAAAGAACAGCTGTGGGTTTTCCCCACAGCTTATTGGTAGTGTGTTTTACATCTCTGGGCACACATATAGCTGTGGATAGTTAGGAAGATGATTTCTGATTAAGCTGTACAATTCTGATAATACTAGAATATTTTTCAAAACTGACACAGAAAAGTAACAGTATTCTTAGTCACAAGGACAGCTAATTTTGGACTTCAGAACAAATTCAGAAAAGACTGGCTGCTCCTGCAGAGAATACAAAGACAAATTCTCAGGTGTTTATTGCTGAAGCACCTTTGGTAGACATAACCCTCTGCAGTAATTGACTTTCTGCATGTCCTCCCAGCCTCAGTTTGTGTTACAGGACTCAGGGTTCAGCCAACTAACTGTTACTGTTAAGTCCTGAATTTCAATGGCACTTTCTGTCTGGAAAAGAGCTTCATGCACGGCCAAGCGTTACTTACTCACTGGCTGGCCAGCACGACCTTCCTAGCCTGCGAGAAATGGTGTGACTTACCATGTGTTATGAGAATGGGTTGGACCCTGAAGAATGTAACATATAATTGTCCTGAGTTTGGCTGTGAGAGGGGGCTGTGCAGAGCCGTGTGGAGGCTGCTGTGTAAGAGCTGGGCAGAGGTGAGACTGTGTGTGCTGAGTGAGGGATGCAGCTGCATGGGCAGAGAGAAAAGTGTGAGAGATGAAGAAGTGTGAGGGATAGAAGATGTAGTGTGAGAGAGAACTGGAACTAGATTTAGAATAGCGAGAACTGGAACTTAAGGTTTAGAACTATAGAATTAGAACAAAAGAATTAGAGGATATTGAAGAAGAATAAAAGAGAATTACCCTCAGATCGTGTGTGAATTATTATAGAGAAGAAGTCTTTCTATCTCTGCTCTTGAGAAATCTCTGAGTAACCCTGGGTAGCAGCTCTGGGAGCTGGCCCTGGCTGTCGAACTCTCTGGAGCTTAAGCAACACTATGCTCAAAATCAGCGGACCCCGTGACCCCTTCTGACCCCGTGACCCAAGGCGGGCATACCTCTTCCACTTCAGCATGCACTGTTCCGTGCTTTCCGGGTTCAGAGCCCTCAATGTAGAATTTCACACGGATGCGCTTTAGCCCATTCTTTGCATATTCAATAAAACTGTGAGGAAAATACAAAGATGACATCCAGGTTCCTTTTATTTAAAAGTTATGCTAGAGTTCTCCCAAGGACACCATATTACCTGACATGCTGTCTCCGCCCACGTCTCGACATTTCCCCGTAGCCTTTAACAGGCTCCCCAAACACACTGATCACCTGCAGAACAGAGACCATGCTTATTTCAGTGTGACTCTTTTCATGGCTCCTGTATAAATATTTTCTGACAATCAAGTGATACATTATTTGTTTGCACATTCCAAGTGATTTTAAGAAAAAAAAAAATCAGTATGGTGAGGGCCCTTAACAAAACTGGTGACTCAAAGAAGAAAACTAGAAATAAAAGGGCATTATGTAGAAATCATACCGTAAATAACTTAATATCTCATGCACAGGGGCAGAAATGGTTCACTCTGTAGTGTCACTTTAGAATGACACAGGATGTTGAGGCGGGGGAGGGGCTTGGACCTGCCTCTACTGAGTGTACCAGGCTCTGCTGACTCCCCATGGGAGACCTTACCTTCTTGTAGGAGGGGGTTGGGAGGCTGGGTTGGGGCGGGGTGGGGGAGACAGGAGGGTCAGGAGGAGGGAAGAGGGGGATCTATGATTGGTATGTAAAATGAATAAAAAAATTTCTTAATAAAAAAATAAACAAACATGCATAAATATGCAAAAAAAAAATGATACAGGCTGAGGTGAATCTGTCTCCTCTCCTTAAAGGAAACAAAATAAACTAAAGAATTGAATATTTCTCTAGTCGCACTCATATTGGAAGACAGGCATTTGACATGAAATTATTAGGTGTCCAGTATTAAAAGCTGAGAGGTAAAAATGAAATTCTAAAGCCCTAAGCACAGCGAGGAAAAAATATCAAGTAATGATGATGCTGTTAAAATAAACCAGGTGCAAGTCTTTTCTTCCTAATGAGAAAATTCACTTGATATAGAAGCAATTTGCACTGAATTTTCAAAGCAAATACGTTGGAATCCTCTCTAAAGAACACAAATTGAATACCAAACTAAAATTACCATAGTTTGTCTCTTTGCTGAGTGTCCTTATTACTGCAAGCATGCATGAAAAGGAAGACTGTCAGTCAACAGACACCAAAGACCCAAGAGCTGAAAGAGGCACTAACTGACAGAGTTAATAGGTTAAGCCCAGCAGTGTCAGATTAGGATTATCTACTGTAAGGGGGCACGCAGCCTGGCAAAAGTGGGACCTAACCAGTGCCGACAAAACAGATCTGCTTAAGTTTAAGGACCATCTAGGAAGCTATGACCCCAACAACACCCACTCTTTCCATTATTCTGTGTGGTTCTATTTGTCTCAGTCTGTGATTACCAGTGCATCCTAATACAGGCTAGGCACCTACCAGAGGCCACACAGAACTCCCTGAATTCCAAACAGTTACAGTGGGGTGTTCTAAATGTGGTCTCTGCCAAAATCAACTCTCTTAGCTATACTTCTCAGTCTCCCCTCTGTATGTGGACACAAAAGGAAAAATGCCAGAGACCACCAGCATCTGAAGTATCCACCCTGACTCAGAGGCATTTAACAACCATGAAGAACTGGTAAAATGAAACATACATAGTGATCTTTGAGTGCCAGGATGCTGTGGAATAATCCTGTACACTGTGTAAATTACACTGTGACTGTTTTACTAAAGAAGCTGACTGGCCAATAGCTGGACAGGATAAGGTTAGGTGGGAAAACCAGACTAAGGAAACTGGGAAGAAGAAGGGCAGAGTCAGAGGAGTCACCAGCAAGACACAGTAAGGACATAGGAGGTGCAAGATAAAAGAGAGGTAATGCCATGTGGCAGAAAGTAGATTAATATAAATGGGTTAAGTTGTAAGAGTTAGCTAGTAACAAGCCTGAGCTATTGGCCAAGCATTTAAAATTCACATCAAGTCTCTGTGTTGGTTGTTTGGGAACTGGCAGGCAGGAAAGAAAAGTCCGTCTACACCAGGATCAAAGTGAGTCAGTGAACAAAGACCTAATAACAAAAGCAACCCAAGCAGCTCAACACTGTAGGGTGTCACTGCTTCAGAAGTGGTGCCTTCCTGCTTCCCAACATCTCATCAGAGAACTAACCTCGGGATGTGTTCTGCATTTTTCTAAGGCTTTCCCATATATGATATTAGGACTGGATGAAGAAAACAGCTCTTTGAAAATCGTGTAGAACAAGCCACCTGAAAAAGCAGAGAGAAAGATGAGGCAAAGCCATGGGTTGAGAGGCTGTGGAAAGGTATTCGAATTGACACTTGCTGGGTTCTCTAACCTGTAATGCTGACTCCGAAGAGCACCACTACCAAGTAGGTGAAGTCTCTTCCAGCTTCTTTCACTGCAAAGAAAAAAATGTTGATAGGTTAAAAGAGTGTCCACAGTACCCTGGCCCCAGGAGGCTTTGCGTGTTTCAAGCAGGTGGCACGTGGGGGTCAAGGTCCATTCTCAGCAGCTGATCTCAATGCTCCTGAGCTTCAGAGTTTCAAAAAAAAAAAAAATTCCCTCATCTTAGCGCTAACCAGGCCTAGCCTCACTTAGCTTCCAAGAGCAGAAGAAAATAGGCTGTCTGGTGTGGTATGGCTGTATACAGGGCCTAGCAATCTCTGTACTTCTTTCACTGAAGGTCATAATGTTGATACTGCTTCCTTCCTAGTGGCAGAAAACCCTTATCAGTCTCTCAGAGAACAGCCACAGATGAGCAACATGGACACAGGTTTACCCTGTCCAGATCAAGAATGCCAACTCAGTCAACCCAAAGACAAGGGAACAAAGGGACCCAAACAAACGGTAGCAACTCTTACCAGTACCACCCCACAGGTCCCCACTGACTGGTGCATTAAGTCCTCAAACTTGGACTTGGAAAGTAGGTGGCCAGGACCATCTATGAATCAAATAAACCTACCGAGGCTGTTCTTACTTTGCTGCACTAAGTAAGTATATGAACATATGGATTAAAGAGAAGTCTGGGAACTAAGGTAATCAATCAAGATATTATTATGGGGGAGTATGTATTTATACACATTATTTACATAAGTGCATGCTATGTGTACAAAGCTATATCATCACAGTGTATTTTTTCATAGATGCTGAGAAACATTTATCCCTTTGGTACACTTATAGGTTAGTATAGTCACATTAGGAACCCAGATTTCTCTAACTTCAATCCTTAAAATTTTGTTTTTCCAGAAAATCAAAAATTAACAGGTAGCATTTTCCCCCTACTTTTTTCATATGTACAGTAAAATATTATAAATAAAACCACTTATTTAAAAATAACATACTTTTGAGTTTTAGTACAGGTTGCTAACTTGAAATGTGTTCAGGGGGCTAGAGAGCTGGCTCAGTGGTTAAGAGTACTTGCTGCTCTTGCAGAACTGGAGTTCAGTTCCCAGAACAGATGTCTGGTGGCTCACAATTGCCTGTAACTCCAGCTACAGAGGATCTGACAACCTTTTCTGACTTCCACTACACTCACGTACACACACACACACACACACACACACACACACACACACAGAGAGAGAGAGAGAGAGAGAGAGAGAGAATAGAAATATTGCATCTACCAAAATTTGTATAATTTATGGGATTGATCTAAACAGTAATTGCTTCATAAATCCAATCTCTTTACTAGGCTCAGA